TCAAGATATGTCAAAAGCATATGATATAATTAGTTTAGAAATGTTGGTAAAAGCAATGAAAAAAATCAAAGCTTTAAAAGATTTTATAAAGATCATAATAAGCCTATTTCAAAATAGAGAATTTCAAATTATATTTAAAAATAACCTTATAGAATCAATAGTATTAGGAGATGGAATTGATCAAGGAGAAACTATGTATTTCACCTTTATTATAAAGAATTTTCTATAATCTGCTCTTTTGCAAAATCCAAAATTATGTATAAAAAGAGTATAAAATATTGGTTACCTAAAATTTAGATCTAAAAGAACATATTATAAAAAAATTAGAATTAAGACATGTAGCTATAGCCTTTATAGATAATATGACATATAGTATATAGCTAAATTCAAGTAGGATATGGAAAAGATCTTGAAGATTGCAAGAATCTTCTATTAAGTTAATAATTCTCAAATTAATAATAATAAATTAGTCTTGATAACTATCAATAATCATAATTGCTATTCAGAAAAAGTTCAAGCAGATACCAATGAAGAGATAGTCAAAAAACTTAATAAAGTAGAAAGTAGAATAAAATAGATTTTTAGGAACATTGACTAGTAATCAAAAAAACTATGATTGAGCTTAAAGAACAAGTGCTTAAAGAAGTTAACTTAGTAACTAGAGTCCTTAAAAACAAAAAGATAACAGATAGACAAGCTTTTTATATTCTAAATAGAATATTAATATTTAGAATGGAATTTAGAATACAATATAGTATATTGTTCTGGAAAATATATAATACCTTACCTTAATAGCAACATACAGATAACTCTTCAAAAATAAGAGTATTTTATGTAGATTCATATCCAATAGTATAATTTACTATTCAAAGATCAACAACTTGAAGAGTATTTGAATACTATAATAAGAAAGTCAAGTAATAAAACTATGCAATAGACTCAATGATCTAGGATTAGCAGAAATCATAACAATTATCAGACTTAAATAAGTACAGATTAAAAATTGAAAGCCATCTAATCTATTAACCTGCAAGTTATTAAATCACTTATTAGATAAAGGTAATTTTATATTTAAAGTAATCAAATTGATATTTGAATACTATAATAAGAAAGTCAAGTAATAAAACTATGCAATAGACTCAATGATCTAGGATTAGCAGAAATCATAACAATTATCAGACTTAAATAAGTACAGATTAAAAATTGAAAGCCATCTAATCTATTAACCTGCAAGTTATTAAATCACTTATTAGATAAAGGTAATTTTATATTTAAAGTAATCAAATTGATAAAAGATATGGAAATAATCTTTCAAAATTGAAAATGACAAGATATCTTTAAATGGAGTAAGGGAAATAATTTGATCAGAGAACATCTTACATCAAATAAATATAAAAAAGCTATTCTATCACTTAGAAACAATAGATTAATATATCTGAATCAAATAATTAATCAAAATTCAAAGAAATTAAAAATTGATGAATGCTTTAGCTTTTACAAAATACAAGTGAAGGATCTATTTCAGAATGGCTTCAAACTATAGCAATAAACCTTATAACTGAACAGTTGAAGCAGTTTACAAGATTTTGAAAGAAAAACTATATAAAATGGAAACCAGAATATGTCAAAATAAGACCTGATTGAGATAAGTAACAAAAATTATAGATAGTAATAAAAAGTGAAGGAAATCAAATAATTTGAGAAAAACTAAACAAGAAAAAAAGGGATATAAAGTAAGAGTGAAATATTTTACTTATTATAATACAAATAATAATCAAGAAACTAATATGCAAAAATGTCTTGGATGTTTAGAAGATACAATACAAAATAGCAATTGTATTATAGAGAGAGGTATAGGGGAGATTTATTTAGTATCATACCTTAACTTAAAAAAATTATTAAAAGAGTATAAGAACTAAAAATCCTCAATTTTAAGACAATCCTGAAAAAAAGGATCCAAGAATAATTTACAATAACTGGAGCCCTTTTATATTTCAAAATGACAAAGTAAATTATATAGATATTGAAACCTGAAAAAAAACTATTATTAGAGAAAATATTAAAGAAGAAGTATATCAAGACTATTTAATAAAAATACTCTAATACAATCTTGGATTCAAAAAAAAATTAATTTTCTATTGCGATGGATCACTGATTAACTATGAAAAAGAAGAAATGAGAATAGGAGCTGCTTGAATTTAAATAAAAAAATCAGGAAGAGAAAGCAAGTTCTAAATAGAAATAAACAACTGGCCCTTATCTACAAGGATTGAATTGATAGCAATTATAATAATACTCTTGGTAGTTCACATTAATAGTACAGTTGAAATTTATACAAATAGTCAAGCCTATATTTCCAAATAAAAAACAATAAAAAAAGAGGACTCAAGAAGAATATATAAAGAGATGACTAAAAAAAAAAAATTGATCTCTTTAGATATAAATAATGGAACTAATAAAGAAGAAAAATATAGATTTAAAGCTCACCAAAGTTAAGATACACTTCAATAATTCTTATAATGAAGAAGCAGATATTCTTGTTAAAGAAGTTCTAAAACTTTTATCTATTAAATAGAAATATCTCTTCTTATATAAGATTATTATAAAAATTAAATCAATCTCAATATGAAAGCTTTTTCATAAAACTGATCAATAATAAGCTACCAATATTAAGTAAATTGATTATAAGAAGATCTGATCTATACAAGCAAATAGAATGTATTGTATGAAATTAACAAGAAGAAACTATAGAACACTTGTTAAAATATTCAGTCTCTAAGGACCAATTATAAGTAGTATAGAATAAAGGAGTAAATGAAATCATTAGAAATTTTAAAGAGTCCCTACAAGAAAAAAAAAAAGAAACTGTAAAAAAAAGTATCAGATTAATTATTAGTGATTTAGAAAAAATTGAGAAGTTTGACAAATGAATTTCTAGATTGGTAAAACAGATTTCTAAAACTAGTTAAAATACTTTAAGTTTTTGAAATAACCTAATAAAAAGTAATCTTATTTTAGAAATAGTGGACCTAAGATATCATAAAAAGTGTATTGAAAAAGAAGCGAGAAAATAAATGTTAAATATGAAAAAAAAGTTTATAATCAAGTCCAAAAAAGAATCTGAAACAAAAAATATGAAAAGATAATCAAATAGGAACATTTACAAAGAATCAATAGAACAGATAAGACCAAATGACATTCAAGTTTTATAGGTCAGAAAACTATACTCTCCAAGAAAAGAAAACCACCATCAGAAGAAGAAAATCTAGAAAATAATAGAAGCCTTCAAGAAATTTTAGCAAAAAGAATAAAATATGGAATGAAGTAATTGGGTTTTGAGCTCTATCAAAACATCATAGAGTGATCTGCAATAATAATCTGCAGGTAATGAAGTTAGCAATTGAAAAGGTTTTTATCTAAATTATCAATGAAATGATAAATCATTCTCAAAGTTATACTTAGAATTTTAATAAATTTCAAAATAGTGATGAGTAAGTTAGGTAAAGATTTAGCTTTAGCAACACATTTTTAATGTAAAGTATACAAAAAGTTTAACAAAGCATATATACCTAGCCTAACAAAGGGCTTAAAAAAAAATAAGATAATTAATATTAAATTAACTTTTGATAAACCTTATAAGACTTGAATTTAATTTAATTCTTACAGTTTCCTTAAATTTTTTTTAATAATAACAATAATCAAGTTAATAAAATTTTTTATATTGAAAAATGGGTTTATTAATAATTAATTTATATTTGATTATTTCGATTTATTTTTATAAAAAATATAAATAGCAAAAAAAAAATCATAAATGATATTTATTTAAGTTATTATCAACGAGAAATATAAAATTTCATTGATATATATATATATATATATCAAAAAATTTTTCTTATAGCTATTTTATAATTTTATAGTCGATTTTAAATTTGAATCATCCCTCTCCTTTTTTTTTTCAAATTCAAAAACCTTTTATTTACTGTACTTATTATTAAAATGACGGTCGATGAAGTCGGGACGAATAATTTAATTTATTTACATTACCAATAAACAAACAATGAGGTAGATCACATCCCTTTTGTGGAAAATAACTGTTACACAGGAGTCGGCAATGATACATCAGAAAATATTTACCTAGAGTCCAATCTGATGTCTTTTATGTGGAGGATTATGCAAGTCAATTCGACAGAGCCCGACGTTCATACTAATGATACCACTTTAACTATGGATGCATTTGAGGATCAGGAAAGGTTTGAAAGAGCCTTAGAGTGGCAAAATGCGAATCAAGCTCTCGGTGTGATCGCAGTTGTTGGTCAGGCTTCAAGACATTTCGATACATTGATCATAAACATTCTGGAGTTGTTTAAATCCATTCTTGAAGTTTACGATAATATACAATACAACAAAAGAATATGCGATTGCTTTGTGGATAGAATAGAATCGGCAGAAGTGGCGATAAAATCGTTTAAACGACACAAAGAGGAGAATGCCCAATATTTTTTTAAACAACAAACATATGACAACTTTCACAAGTTCGTTGCTATACTGGAAAAGGTGCAACGATTTATGACGGACGTGTCACAGCTTTGTGGGTTGCGAAAATTCAGCGATGTTGGCGCCATTGTGAAACGATTTTGGGAGATAATAAGGGAGTTTGATGAGGTGATCGAGAATTTGCGACTGAAGATGTCACTTTCGGAGAAAGAACAGTTGATAAGAGATAAAAATGCTATAAAAGAAGACATAATAATAATGAAAGAGGTGTGGTTTTTACGTCAATCTTTTTTATTCTTCTGTTTATCTTGAATGGATTTATAATGACATGGCGAAAATTATGATTCCATAGTTCTTGGAGAAAGTAAATAGTGGTATCACGGCCACAAAAAAGGAAACGGCAACCAATAAACCGCAAATTAGAGATATCTTTGAGGAAATAGTGATGAAGAAAAATCACGTCACAGAGTCCAACAAGTCTACAAAATTCAAAACAAAAAACATACCCTCGAACGAAATCATCGAGATTCACGATCAGTCTCGTGAAAAATCTCAGGGAAATGCCCGTAAAATGCTGTATTTGAACAATCATGTGGCCTGCAAAGATTTTGACAGCGAACAAAATGCGAAATTCTACAACGAGTTATCAATGCTGTATAATCTAAATCATTCGGAGAATATAATTCGATTTCATGGAGTCTCGGAACATGAAGAAGGACAGATGCTGGTATTTGACTGGGCCGATAAGGGAGATCTGCAGACGTTGTACGAGAATTATGATATTGATTGGAGCATAAGGTTAAAAATTGCGGTAGGGATTTGTCGTGGTTTGTTGTTTCTGCATGGGTGTCATATTCTTCACAGGGAGCTTCGATGTCAAAATGTTTTGGCAAGTATTCCTTAGCATGTGTTGGAACAAGATTCTTTGTTGCCCCGGAATTAAAATATTTGTTTGTTCGTTCACTTGTTGAACGTTAGATTACACATGATTTTGAACCAAGGCTTGCCAACTTTAGCTTCAGTAGGCCGGCAAAGTATAGTAGATATTTTGTAGAAAATATCACTGCTGTCGTGCATTGGTTAGCGCCAGAAAAACTAAGGTTAGGGAATAAAGTGAAGTTTTCACATAAGTGTGACATTTTCAGGTATGATCAATTCAACATTATGGCGTATGACGTCATCTATTGATTACGTATCAAACTTTTTCACACATCATAAATTTCGCGTGCGATAACATAAAATTAATTCATCAATTAAATAATTATAGCTTTGGTATGCTCCTCTGGGAGATTGCTTTTGAGAGGATTCCCTATAAGGATTGGAGTTATACAAACATCATTGACCATGTGAAGGCTGGTAAAAGAGAGAGTATGGATTTAGGACCTAATGCAAGTGAAGCCCAAAGAGAATTTCTCAAAATAATAAGAGCAGGTAAATTTCAATTTTCTCCGGTAGAAATCCAATGATATTTGCAACAAATTCAAATGTTGCCGATCTTATTATTTCAAGCGTGGCAGGATGATCCCACCCTTCGACCATGTCTTCATGAACTATTTGTTCAATTAGAAGACCTAAGTTGGAAATGTCCAAATGACAATGAATCTATCATGAAGAAAAAAAATAAGACCATTAATGAATCAGAGGTTTCAGATAATCAATCGGAACTTCTGGACATTGAAACAGAAAATGATGTGCAGGACAAGGACATAGAATTAAAGTTCATGCACATAGTTCAACCAATCCTCCTGCTTGAAGAGGGCATAAAATCTCATAAGAGCGGGGAAAAGCGTGTGGCGTGGGAATGCTTTCAGGCACACGCGGACCTTGGGAACAACTATGCAAAATATTGGCAAGCGCATTATTTGACCGAAGGGTATCACATAGAAAGGGATATTAAGAAGGGAACCAAGTACTTTAAGGAAGCAGCCGACGCGGATGTCGCCGATTCGCAATTACGCTACGCATTCTCACTTTATCACGACCAAATTATACAGGATACCGATGCATTCTTGCATTATTTAACGTTGGCTGCTGAAAATGGGAATGCGACAGCACAGTTTAATTTGGGTCGGATGTATTATGCCGGTATGGTTGGTTTGAATAAGGATAGGGAGAGGGGGTTACAATATTTGAAGATGGCTGCCTTGAAGAATCAACCCAGAGCAATACAATTTTTGGAGAGTGTGAAGATAGATAGATATATCTGAGTTCATATTGTTAGATGTTGAATTCTTGTAAATACGGGTATATTCGTGTATTGATTTCTTTTCGGTGGATTGGTAGTTAGCTCTTTATGCATATTCCACTCTTTCCACACCTATAATAAAGTATCAATTATTCTATTATACTGATTTGTGATCCGGATGATGAATGACCAAGGTTCTAAAATGGAGTCCGGGGAAGGAACATTTGGATTTCATTAGTTTCCATGATTACCAAGTTTTAAATGTAGCATCATAATTGTTGAATATAATCTAGAGTATATTATGAACATTATGTTTTAATTAAAAATTTACATATCAATATGAATTGTTTTGCCAAGATACCAGTGACCCAAACCTATCATGAATTTCTTTCGCCGACAAAAACAAAGGATTCCGTGCGGACAATGGGAAATTTTTCGAATTCCCTTTGACACATGAACATGTGAGTTTAGTGAAAAGATGATCAGGGGGATACCGTGAGATGGTCCTTTACAAAAGATACAAGTTCACTCTGGATACCACGAGGTAATTTCTCAGTTAAATCTCAACGGATTTTATGATCGAATGACTATACACAATATACAGGAAATTTCAATGAATATAGATAGATATAGATGTAGATCTATTTATTTTTTTTTTTTACATAGTGCGTGAAACACCAAACGTCAATATATAACATGTTGAATGGAGGGAGAAATGAGAGATCAGGTAAAAAGAATAACATGTGTGGGAAAGATATAAAGCGGCGTATTATAATTAATTAATTACTTTTCAAAGTACATATACAATATATAAATATTTTTGTTCGTCTATTACGTATAAGAAATTGTTGGGAAAAGGTGGTGAGTGGTTTATTAATTTTCCTCCGAAAAAACCAATGAATTTACAATGCCTTTATTAATATGATACAAGATGCGAGAGTGGAAGGGGGAGAAGTGAATCTTAATTTACCCGAATATGGGGCAGTATAAGATGCGAAGAAAGAAAAAAAAAACTCGGCAAGACGATATGCATGAACCAAGAGTTGTCCAATAGAAACACACTTTTGAAACCCAACTTCACGTATGTGGGGTTCGCCATCTTTAATAACCAATAAGGTTAAGCTCGATCCCTTTCTCCAAAGTCGCCAAGTATTGTCGATATATGTTGCGAAATTGACCGGCATAGGTCCATCGGAATTGAAAGGCTAAAAAAAAAAAAAAATAAAATAAATAAGAAAAAAAAAAAAATTAGAAAATGAGATATCGATCGCCAATGATGCAATTGCTCGTACGAGTATCAAGCATACCGTAAATGTTCGTCCCAAATTTCACCCACGCATCGGCGAAATCCCAAATTCCAATTGCGACCAACGCACCTTGCTCAATTCCCCATTCAATCAACACGTCACACCATTCTTTGGTAACGTAATCTCCGCATGTGGTTTTACACTCTCCAACCATGGCCAACAATCTCAACTTGGGAAATACCGCTGTGACCAATTCATTGATCATTCGTTCACTAATGCCCGTACAATCTCGAAACTTTAATTTTTCAAGATTCGTGCATCGGATTATATTTGACCACGGGACATCGTCGTCGAATGTGCATCCCCACAGGTGAATGCTGGTCAACGAGGTTGACTGTGTTGAAAGGGTGGGAAATAAAGAGGCCGGATGTATGTTTCCGAGCTTTAACGATTTAAGGTGACTCTGTGACCTCAGCAGCTCGCGTAATGAAATCAGTTCATCGTTATAGCTATAGTTCTGAGGCGTATTTGCTAAATAGACGAACAATTTGTCCTATTATGGGAAAGAGAGTTGTGCAGAGTGCGAAACACGTGTGAGTATGAAAATTACGGTGAACGACTGTAATCATTTGACTGGTGCAACGCAGTACGTAAAAGATTATAAATATGTACCAAATGCTTGCAGGGATGACGCAATCCCTTGAGAATACAATCCTTCACAAAATCACCCTGAACCTTCAATTTTTTTACCGACTGCAATAAATCTTGAAACTCTTCTTCAATAATCCTCCTGTACTTTAGATCCGTGGAGGTTCGATCTACCCATTCACCCAACACCAAGTGCAACAATATCACCGATCGCGTCAAAAACAAGCGAAACAGTGCACGCATAATCAACACTATAGCATTATAAGGCTCTTGAACCGTCTCGTTACACCACGTGTCAACGGAATTACAGAATCTATCATAGTCCAATCGTTTCAGCATTGCTGCGTAAGGGAACGCCGGACTCGGATAACGTGACTTGGGAAGCATTACGCCTGCCGAGAGTAAAGCTTTTCGCTCGGTGGAATTGAAGCAAGAGATATAGGTCTCTATTAATTTTGCGTTGCCTTCCCTACAAAAATAAAAACTATTTCGCCAGAGTATGGGCACTGCGGCTTGACACCACTGCCTGTTGACCAATAAACAGGCGTGTAGGTATCTACGGGTGTCCCGATCATACATGTCGGGATTTTTGCCGGCTTTTCGTATATAATTGAATATAATCCGAAGCACGTCCAATGGGAGCTGCGATGCTAGAGAAATTGTGGATGATGACATTTCATTTATTTTATTTAAACTATATCCGAATAACCCTGCGCAAGGTAAGTGTCCGTAAATCCGGTAATGGTGTGCTCTAATGTATCTAATGTGGTGTCGATTTATTGGAGAGTTTAAGGTGTGGGTTTGCGAAAATTTGTCAAGTTTTATAGATGAGCCCTATTTATAAAGAAATCTGGTTATCATCTGTGTAACATCACATTAGCACAAATTATGATTTATTGCATGATGAATTCTGCATATCCCACCCGAAATTAATACATTTTTTTTTACCGGTGAAATTACCTATTCCTCTTACAACTGGGGATTTTTAAATAATTAATAATTATATAAAATTTTTTTATTTATTTATACTATTTTTATTGTGATCAAATCATTCATATATGTATATTTTTAACCAGGTGATGATATATTTTAAACATTTTTTTTCAAACTTTATAATTGAAATTTTGCCTGTCAGTTAAAATAAAAAAAAAGAAAAATTTTATTCTTTTTTTTTTTAACTTTATTGCACTCTGTGCATATTTTTATATCGCAATTTGTACATATTTTCAATTTAATGCCTGCCTTTAAAAAAATTATTATTATTTTTTAAAATGTTTGTTAACATTAAAAATCAATTAATTAATTTTCTTTTTGAAATTTATACTTTATTTGACAGCATAAGATTTGATTTTATACTGTGAATAATTATCATGTTAAAAAAGATTGAAAAATTGACATCTTTTTTAAATGATTTTAATTTCTTTTGTGTTCTTTCAATGACCAGCAGGACGTTAGCGCATAACAGGAGCCTCGGCTATTGGTGAATGCGCCCAGACTTAATCTTGATATGGTAATTCGTCTTGTCGAGTAAGATATTGGCGGCCTAAAATTTTTTTTGGAAACAATAAGCTAGAAATTTACACGTCATTTAATTCCGGAATTCTTATTCGCCGAAATTCCTAAAGGGATGATATATGATATATGTAAACAGAACTCCTTATGGCCGGCCTCAAAATACATTTCGTAAACTGACATCACCAATAGCGATTCTAAGAAACTATCACTGGTTTGCCCTTCTTTCTGTTCAATGTATACAATGCCACCTCCTGGACTCGTACGAAGGAATCAGTTTTGCCAAGAAATTCCCATAAATAACATCAGCCTCCGTCGGTAGAAGAACACCGACTGCCCTTAATCAATCAAAGGAGTTCTGGAAGAAGAACGATGATGGATTTTTTTCAGATCCTCTACCCAGACGTTAAAAAAGAAACATGAATTCCGTTGATCTGTAAAAGTTCGTCATAAATGTGACTTCATTTGGATTGGATGACGATGTTGAAAATGAAACCAGTCAAAAAATCCATAAGTTTATTCCAATCGTAGCAGCTCAAGCATTACAGCGCACGAATTCGCGACAAGGTGGCATATAATGTCGACCCTTTAATTTCATTTCTTTCTTTCTTGCGATAATAAAATCATAAAAGAATGACGCTCATCAGATGAACCGGTATTTACTATACCATTTTAGTCCTAGTTCAAACCGTAGAAAATTGTGTTGAATCATGTTTGTTCATCATCGAAGCTTGCTTGTAAAAAAAAAAAAAAAAATGACCTATGGGTCGAGAATTCGCTTGGCATGTTGAGATCATAGGGATTCGCTTTTAAAAGCTATAGTTTTATTATTATTTAAGGTTAATAAGAAATGCGGAAGGATGGTCTCATAAATAAACATATACAGTATGTAGGTGCAATTCTTGTTTTTCCTATTTTTATCAAGTTCACACTCGGAGTAAGACGCTATATGGAAGTTTATTGTGGACAAGGGCAAAACCAAAAAGGTCCTGTTCTATGTTTATATGGCAAAGCGTAATAATTTCCGTCGAGATTTAACTGGAAATTTTCTGTTGGATACGAGTTTAATCATCATTAATTAATCAAATGCGCGAAAACGTGAATTACCGAGTACCTAGGAAATTTCCTACAATCATTACGCGAAGGAATAATAATGATATCTGTGGAAGCTGTTTCAATAGGAATTCAGGGAATACTATACAGCTATCGTATACATGTTAACATATCTTGAATTCGTTATCATTACATAGATAATTATTATGGATGTATAGATGCGATATTCTATGAAAGTGGAACGTAAATCGGGAAATTCGGATATCACACACGTCCCATCATTTTTTCATTTGTAAAACCAAAATAGAATACAAAAGGAAAAAAACGCTACGTGTTCAAGCCATAAGTAAGAAGGACATGGTGTCAATTCGCACCTTTAATTCGCCGCATTTTGCACCATGATGTTTAAATCCGGATGTTTTTTATAGGGGAGTTCTGAATTAAAGCTCGTGCGAACATAAAAATGTAAGAAAACAATACGAAAATGACAAATATAGCTTTGTAACGCCCTTGATAAATCTTATGTCACGGAATTCAAGGGCAGAAGAATAGATCTCTTCTAAATATCAAAAGAAGAGCAATTAGTAATAATTAGTAATCGAGGTACACGTACGCACTTATTTTGCCGATTGCCGTGTAATACCGTCGTACACAAAGAACTACCAAACTACTAATCATTATTTGCTACGTCTCAAGTCTTTTAGAAAAATAAGCTCTTTCTTTTCCACAGTTCGAATAATGGCATCAACGGCAATGCAGTTACAACGAAGAATCTATTCCTTTTGGTTTAAAGGTGTTCCTGGATATAGCGAATGATTTATTAATATCATTTTTAATTTCCCAACTTATATATGCCTATATCTATTTCTATTTCCCTATAATGAAGAGTATACTAGCGGCAAGCAACTGGATCAATCCTTATTAAGTTTTTGGTTTCAAGGTGGCGAAGCTGTCGATAATGAGTGCAGAGAGAATTTTAGCAAAGACTTGGAAGAAGTTCTCAAAGGGAATCACGTTGAGGAATTGAAGAAAACTCCCGAGGTGTGTCTTTACGATAACGGTAATTTTACATAGAGCACAGCTTGAATGCAACAACATAATAAAATTGCAAATTTTTAGGGAACATTAAGTCTCACGATCCTCTTGGATCAGATCCCGAGAAACATATACCGTGGCACAGCTAGACCATTTGTGGAGTTTGATCCATTGGCCCTGGATACTTGCAAATATGCTTTGGGTAAGTAATGCTCTGCTTGAAAGACGTAGAATGAAAGAGCGATTGGTTTGATTTTGGTACATACCATTAGGAAAAAAGTGGGACGAAGTTTTGGATTCGCTTGAGAGAGTGTTCCTGTATTTGGTAATCGCTTAACTAGAGAATCAAATCCTTTTTTTTTTTCTTATTCACATTAAAATCCTAATATTATTAATGGTAAAATAGCCTTTGGAACACTCGGAAAATATGGAAGATCAAATTCTCTGCGTCGAAAAGTTCCGACGGAACGTTGAAAACTGTCCGCCGGTAAATACATCGCTTTCAAATAAACAGTGTTTTTGCCTTCAATTTTAATAGGTTTGCTTAAAATGATGCTAGGTCAATTTAAACCTTGCGAAAAGCTTCTTGAAATATGCCGAAGATCATAAATATATAATCGAAAAATTTGGAAGATATCCGCGTAGAAATAAATGCTTGGGTAGAGAGAGTACCCAAGAGGAATTGGAATTTCTGAAGACCAGTCACATCCGCTAGGATCTACAATATTTCTTTACCAAAAGATTTACCTTGATACAGTACGTAATATTTAAAGTCAAAGAATTTTTTGTTCAAATATACTGCATGCTAGATTGATTGGATTTAATAAAAATTTCAATCATATCGGTTACTCGTTATTTTTCAATTTATAAACAAAGAAAATACCTACAAAAATATTTTCTTTTATACAAATTATTCGGTGTAAAAGAAATAATTACAGTAGTATCCTTTCACAAATCTTTTTAAAGACAACGCGAATATAAAAAAAAAACCAAATTTCGAACTTAATAAAATTTTTAGTAAAAATAAATGGTTTAACCTTTTAAATCAAAAATTTAGAGAAATATAAATATTTATTATAACAATACTAGTTTGATCATATTTTATATCAAGATTTTTTGATAATTTCTTGAAAAAAGTCAAACCAAATGAGAGACTTTTCTTCTATCTTAAAACATCGACAAAATCAAATAACATGACCTTCCAATATCCCAAACAATTTATCAGTAAGTATTCTTTTTAATTTATTAGTACATTTATAGACTTATTCTTTAAAAAAAAAAAAAACTCTTCATACACAAAAACTGAATTATAATAAAGTCAAGAAAACCTTATAAGATAGTAATTTTAACCAATAAATTAATCAAAATTTAAGACTTGTGTAATTTAAAAAAAAGAACTATTTTTTAACTTATAAATTTTTATTTTATTTTATTTTAATTACAACTGGTATTAGATATGGCTTTTTATTAATAATTAACTTAACATTTGATGAAAATAAATTTGCTAGTATGACATCAATCATCTCATACATATACAGTATATACTAATTAATGATAATCTATCATTCTAAGTGAACCTATTATCACTTTATGAGTAGGCATACTAATTAGAAATCAAATGATTAATATATAGTTATCAACAGTAATGTTATACTAGTTAGTATTAAACTTACAATTATTTATATTTCACCAAACTAGTCTTTTTTGTATATATCTGATAAAATGTGTTATATCCTTTAATATTTTCGAATATTATTCACTCAGATCTCAAAAGAAGGTATATTGTCTTTTTTGCTACTACCTATAGCATTGGATCAGTTTTTATTAACTAATTTTCAATTAAATGAAATATCAGATTAGAATATTCTGAGCTAGAAGAGTAGAGGTCTTCGAGGTTATCAGAGTAAAAAAGTCTTGGAGTATTTATAAGAACTTAACCAGAAGCTTTTTTTCATGCAATTCTTTTAATAGTTTAATTATAAATCTCAACTCCTAATTAACAGAAAATCAGAAATTCTATCTTTATGCAATCTAATCTAATTAAGATTTGTACTAAATTATTAAGTATAACTTTTACAGAATAATTGATAAATCTGATCGAAAGATAATTTTTGCTTTTTGATTCTTAAATAGTATTGAACTACAGATCTTATAAATAAAATCTGGAAATATTATTATTGTGCCATTGACTTACAGGTCTTTTTTTAATTTATAATTTAATTAATTTGATTTGACTTTATTATATAATATTTTAAAAATATTTATAATCTATTTTGACTTTTACATGGTAACTTATTTATTATTAAAAAATCAATTTTCTAATTGTAACTTAAAAAATAATTTTTTATTTCTTTATTAACTTCCTCTTCTGCTAATCCTCTGACCACACACAAAAAAGATGTTCACAAGAAATTTTTATATTTCTTGACTAATAAAGTTTTATAACTTTCATTAAACCAACTTGAAGAAATTCTTCAAGAGTCATCTTTACCTTCCCCCTTTCCTCTTGTAAACAATCTTCTTCAACCAAAAACCTGACTTTCAGTGACAAAAGTCATGAATACATCTTTCCTACCAATGGCAAGAAAGTTTTGAAAAAAAGAAAAACCAAAGTGCTACTACCTATCTACTTGCTAAAGAAACACTACAGAGCTTATCTGGTGATAAGAGACTTATCTTGAAGGCAACCATCCACTCTCTTGTCATGTACTTGCTCTAAGAGTACTCTTTTTTAGTTTTTCTGAAATATTTTGCCTACTTCAGTTTGATCCAGAATTTTGAGTAGCACAAAGTTTCACAAGCAGTGATTGGTTAGCAGGAAACATATCAATAAAGAAATATAAACAAGCTCCCATTGGTCACTTCATGTGTCTGAATGCATTTTCTCAGTACCCATAAGAACCTGGGATCCATTATAAGTCATTTGTTTGTGGTGTGGGTGAATATAGGGCATGAATATCTATGAGATCATTGGCTATATGAAAAAAACAGTGCTGAATTAGAATATACTGAATAGAAAACATCAACTTTCTACTTCTTCTCTTCTATTCCAATAAACTCAAATCAAAAGAAAATGACCTTATGAAATAGAATCCTTTTGAGAGAGTTTTGGATACCTATTGCTTCTTCTTTGAAAACATATCTGTCACCTTGTTAAACAACAAAGTACCTCTCTATGAACAGTACTAGTCAACCCTTTTTTTATAAAATTTTTGGTTAAGCACTAGTGAAATCTAAGGTTCCACATGAGAGATCCCTAACATTGGTGGTAATGGGTACTTCAGGTTAACCCTTGATACATTAGCTCACTTTTTTGGAAAAGCAATAAGCTGCCTGATGAATCAAGGCCTATGCAGTAGTTTTATAGAGTACCTATGTATAGAATAGAAAAGTAATATAGTTTGTGCATCATTCTTTTTATTATTTTTTGAATTTTGTTGTTGTAAGTAATTAATCTACACTAGATGGTCATATAGTTATCATATCCTGATTGGGTGAGATATAAATAATTAGCTCTCTATACTATTTATTAATTTGTAAATCCTTAGACAGTATGGGTAATTATTCATCCTAGTTGTTTCTAAATTATCTACATACTTTAATAAAATACGCAGCACATGGACACAAAGATGAGCTGGTGTTAAAAAAAAAAAAAAATTTTTTTCTTTATTAACTTAAATTAATCTTTAATTAAATAAATTTATTATCTACAAGTTATTACTATAAATTATTCAAAAAAATTTTTATAACATAAATTCTAATTATTTAAATTTATAAAAAATATAATTTATAACAATTCTAAAATATCTATTTAATTTTTAATTTAAATCTTAATCTTTATTTTTTTTAAAATAGTTATTTATTACTTTTATTTAATTTTATGCTTTTCAAATAATTTTTTTATATTTAATTTTTTGACTTTTTTCTATTTTTATTTATTTTTTTAATATATATAATGAGTTGCAAAACTTTTTAAAATTTTTTATTTATCTATTATTTAAAAACTATCATATAAAAATTAACAAAAAATATATCAAAATAAAGCTTAAAGACTAGAAATTTTATTAATATATAATTAATAATTAATTATTTTATCTATTATATTTAATTATTAATTCATATCTTTCTTTTATTAAATCTATATTATTAATTATAATAATCTTATTTGAAATTTTTTTCTATTATTCTATTATAAATTATTCTAATATTAAAAAATTTTGAGGTAATATCATTTTTATATTTCTTTTAACAATAGTTCAGATGTTTTAATAAAATTTAAATTTGAACTATTAGAAGGCCAATCTATAATTTCAGAAAATTTTTTATTTAAAAATTTTTTGATAATTTTATCAGTATACTTAAAATTATTATCTTATTGAAAAATTCTAATTGTTTCTAAGTATTTTCTAATTTCTTGTTTATAATTTTGCAAAATATTAATACAAAATTTTATATTCATAATTTTTTTAAAACAAAAAAAAAAGTTTTTTTTTTTAAACAAAATATTCCTTAGATAAAAATTTTTATATAATCTTAGGTATTCTTTTAATTGATCTTGTATTAAGTAATTGTGTTTCTAAATAGTTGAAATACTGTTTTATCAAAAAGTAAAGTTCTTTTTTAATTATTATTAGGATATTTTTTTACCCAAATTATATGAGCTTTTTTATAAATAGTAGTAAGTATAGGTGTTTTCAAAAATAAGTTATTTTTATAATCTATTCTTATTAAATGTCTTAAAATAATTGAATATAATATTTTGATATCAATATTTAATAATTTAATTGTTAAAGTTCTTGTAGAAAATCTTGAATTATAATGTAAATATTGATTAATTGCTTTTGATACATATGAAGTAATTTTTTTAGAATAATCTTCACTTGATTTCTTGAATTATTATCTTTATAGTTTAATTTTTTAAAATTGTAATAGATTATTGACTTATTTATACCAGTTTTAGAATATATTTTATTTATAAAAGTAATTCTATTATTTTACAAATATAATATATTTTGTCATTGTATATTTTTTTTTTTGAAAATGATATTGTAAAAATCTGTTTATAAAAAAAAAACAAAATAAATTGAAGTTTTAAGATATATACATATAATATATTATTTACATATTTAAAATTTCATGTGAATTGCTTTTGTTTTGAAAAAGTTATTTATATTTATATCACATAACTAAAATTCTAAAAAGTTTGCAACATATTGTATATATATATTTTTAATATTAACAAAACTATATTTTATTGATTTTGTAAATTGACAAAAAAAAAAAAACAATTTAAATTTATATTCTTAAATTTTTTATTTAATAATAGAAGAACTTTAATAATCTACAGATCTATAACATAATGGTAGTGCTCACACAAGATTCAAAGTTCAATACCACATAAGGACCAAGTGAAAAATATCATATTACAATAAATTCAGTACTTCATTGGATAACTGAAAATATTATTGAATGTAGACCTAATTATCTTACTAATAATCAAAATGAAAAAATTCACTACTATACAATATTACTTGTAGTTGATCTTTACTGGATCAGGCCAATCTATAAATATTATGAGACAATCAGTATTTTATCAATATCCTGATAAAGTGAAAAAGAATAGACTGATCTCATTGTAACATATGCAATATTAAGAAGTCATTTCATTATTATATATTTTGGTTAAAGGAAAACTTTATTAAATATAAACTAGAA